GAAAAATTCTACTTCGATAGTTTGATCGTCGGTACGTGCAAAAATCACGTGACCTGTACGTGTCCGTAGACTTTCCGCTTTAGACGGTCCCCAGTTTTAGATGTGACGAATCGCGTGACTGATATTGGTCAGGTGATTACTATTAAAATTTTAAATCGTTTCGTAACTTTTCTTTGCAAATAATGGATCCATCGATAATTAATGAGCCAAGTTCTGTTGACATCGCTGGTGAAATTAGTATTAGGTCGTTATTCGAATCTTTCAGGGATTCATTAGACCAACATGTGAGTTGAAGTAACATATCTGAAAGGTCTTCTGATTTTTCTTTTTTTTTGATAGTTGACTAACGAAATCAAAGTATGATAGGCGAGAGCGTATTGTCAAGGCGTCAAGGTTTAGATCTATGTATATGCATATATTTTAACATGCCTATAAATTTCAAATATTAATTTTCCTATTTGATAACTATTCGTCCACGTTAAAGAGATATCACAGCTTTGAGTAAAAGACTTATTGGTCTTGCACACAGGTAATAATTCTTTTAATCAAATTATTAGTATTCTCTAATATTCATTTGACACGATTTTATTATATTAAGGGTTACTCAAAAACCGTTAAAGTCTATTCTTCAAGAAGCAAATGAGAAAAAAGATGAAATAACTCAACTTTTCAAAGAAATTTCCCTTGATTTGCAGGGCATTAATTATTATAGGTAATGATTAGTTTAATTAAACTTTAAAAAAAATTTTTTTCTGATTAAAACGTAATTAAATTTGTAGATATCACAAAAACATTTCTCCCTCGATTCAAGAATATATTGAGGCAATTTCATTTTTGGAATATTTGCAAAATGATCGACTGATTACAAAAGAACAAGTTGAAAAAGATTTTACGGATGAAACCGGTACTCAGGCATGCGGATGAAATTTATCACCTTACAATTAGACAAATTTCGTTAATTGATTAATATTAAATATGTGGATTTGTTTAGTTTTTACTAATTACGGAAGAAGACTATGTATTGGGCCTAGCTGATCTAACAGGTGAATTAATGAGATATGCTATTAATAGTGTGGGAAAAGGAGATCATGATCGAGTGATCAAGGTTTGCCAATTCTTACGTGATATAAAGACTGGTGCGTTAGTACTTTAAAATTGTTCTTTTCATCCACCGTTCATAATTTCGCAAGCGTTTCTTTTCACTCAATACAAAAAAAAAAAAAAAAAAAGATTATGACATTCTTAGAGTTCGTCCAAGATCTCCGTTAGGTCGAAAGGTGGATACAATACGCCAAAGTTTATCAAAAGTTGAAGATGGTATGGTTATTATGATAATGTGTACATTCTCATCTAATTGTAGAGATCGGACCTAAGTAGAAATTGTTGATATATGGTTACCCGAAGTATACAATAATTTACCCAGATAACCTGAGTAATCTCGTTATAGCCGAGTGAAGATCTCAGCGAGTCCAATCTCTACCTAGTTATACCAAAAATTTGTTATTCATATTATTTATTCTTGTTTCATTTGTATTTTCTTAGCCTGTTATGCCATAACGATTAGGGGTTCAGGTATGTTAATTTTTGAACGACAAAGGGATGTGTTACGTTGTTTTAAAATATTCATACAGTAATTTTCTCGTTCTTGTAATACAACAGAATATCCCAAGGAATTTTATCAACACATTGTTAGTGAACATGCAAGAAGTTATGAATATATGGAAGAAGAAGAGTAATTTTCATTAACGGGAATATTGTTAATGCTTAATCAATTTTTCTATCTTAAAGAGATAGTTAATCTCAACCAGACTAATTCAAATAATAAAGTATATGCATGAATAATTTTTTATGTAATGATATACAACATTCATATAAGACTGCAAAGTTATTTGCCGCAATGGGCGATAAATGTTAAACGTTGTTACGACCTGGGTCGTAAGAGCACGCGCAGGTTACGTAGGATGAATTTTAATATGGGTTTGGGGTTAATGATAGTTGGTCATTAAATTATTATATCTTAATAAATGTCAGAAAAACTATCAAACAATTTTATATGGATTGTAAAAATGAAGAACAAGGTTGAAGTTTTAGATTATTTATATACATTGTTAATAATTGAATAAAGTATCATATTTGTTCACGTAAAGTTCTATAATATCTTTTGCTGATCACTAATGTGTCTAACGTGATAAAAAATTAAAACAAAAAAATTATGAGAAACGTGAAACGACAGACCGAATTGTCGAACGTATGACAGATAAAGGTCGTAAGGTTATTAACCTTCATGGTGGTCTTTCAATGGCTGAACGTGATGAAATCATGAGTGGATTCCATAAAGGTAGTACCAAAGTATTGTATTGACTACCACTAATGTCCTCTCACGTGGTATTGACGCGTTGCAAGTGAGTCTTGTGATATACCGATGTTGAACGGTAGAACCCTGATTTGGAATTCCGTTAACTTTTGTTCATGATGCTGTTATGGTATAAGCTACACAACCCTACTGATGAGGAGATGGCTGAAATATTTTAATCTATAATATAAGTTTAGATGTCACCTCTCACGTGGTCTATCTATGTCTATAATATACAGCTGATTTGGGATCTTCGCTAAGAAAATGACTCTCCGAGACTATGTATATTTTATAAATTTGTAGCCATCCAATGATCCAATTCAACCTTTTTTAATTTGTAGAGCTCACTAAATTCTACAAAATAAACTTTGTTTATAAAATCTACATAGTTCCGGAGGATTATTTTCCTAGCAGAGATCCTATTTACTATTCACTTAATCATAAAGTGTGTAACATTTTATTGGGCTGGTAAAAAAAATACAGAATATATGATATTTTATCTAATGAAGCTTAGAAATTTTAAATTAACTATCGACAAAGAATTTAGAATTTATATACAGTATAACCTGTCAAAACTGATAAAAAATCAATCCACCATGCCTATTTCTAAGATAGTTATTTGACCTCTTAAATCTGATAACCCTTTAAAAGTGATATAAAATTTGTCTACTATGCATATCGGTTTTGACAGATTATACTGTATATATTATATAATCAATTGCCGAATTATTATACGTAGTATGGCAATAATAACTTTATTTTACTTGATTTAGTAATCTAAATACCAATATACAAATGAGTAATAAATTTAATTATATAATTATAAATAAATCGAATATATTACTTACCATCGGGGATTTCAATATCAAGTAATTTTCCAGCAGTTGGTCGGTTTTGAGGTTCTGCGTCGTCTAAGCACTTGTTCATCAAACCCAAAAGTAGTTGAGGAACTTCGCATCTAATTTTAGGTCTGAGACCTTCACAAATATTAAGTGCAGGCCGAAATCATGTGGAACATCATGATATGGAGGATATCCAGTAAAAACTTCTGACATAATTATTCTGAAAGAATAAATATCCGATTTTTGAGTGTATTCCTTTCCATTTGTATCTGGAGCAATATAGGGAAGCACACCAAAAAGCGCTTTAGAACTTGAGTCTTGTAATACTAGCTTACATAAACCAAAATCAGTAACGTAAGAATCAAACATGTCTTTATTAACTATATTTCCGGAATGAAAATCTTTATGCACTAATTTGGCTTCGTGAATTGCATTAAGCTCACTGGCTATGTAATATAAGTTAGCTACTCTAGAAGCCCAATCTAGTTCACTTACCATCTTTTGGATTTTTGGTTATTTCATAAATTGCAATTGCTGAATTGCCCTCATGTTTATGTTGATTTTTAACCTAATAAATATTAATTAGAATAGCAAGAATATTACACTTCAATAATAATAAATGTCATAGCTGAAGTTGGAAACGGCTGAATTGAAAATTGGGGGCCTCGATTTAAAAATATAAACCCTACCAAAATTTACTTATACCCTTTTATTAACAAAATTAACCCTAAATTCTAACATAACTATTAAAAAAAAGTTAAAATTATGGGTTACGTATCACTTCACAGAAGTTTATTTCACAGACACCTTGTTTTCACAGACAATCAGTTCATAGACAAGCTTAGTTTAAAGACAATTAATTTACAGACAGTTCATTTTATAGACAGTTCATTTTATCGACAGTTCATTTTATCGACAATCTTTAATAGCGAATAACTTCTGAATCAGAGTTAAAGATTGTTCACGAAATGAAGTGTCTATAAAATGAACTGTCTATGAAATGAACTGTCTGTAAACTAATTGTCTTTAAAATAAACTTGTCTATGAGCTGATTGTCTATGAAACAAGGTGTCTGTGAAATGAAGTGATATGTAACCAAAATTATGTGCCCAAAAAAATTTGAAAATTTCATATTTAAGATTTCCAGCTTCTTCCAAAAATTTATATCTTTAGAATTATCAAGATTTTTTAAGCAAACATCTATTTGCGAATTTTCAAATAAGAGATGGAAAGATTTTCACTTGCCTTTCTGTATCTGTCAAGAACCTTTGCACTTTTCATGTCGCCCTGTTCTGTATCCTCGATTGTTTTAAGGCATTTTAGATAACAATCTATCTTTAGACCAAAGGGCCCTATGTCGCATTCGTTTAAGAAACAGATAACACTCCAGTTTCAGGTTTATTTCGAATAAAATATTCATTTTTCATAATTAGAGTTTAAATAAAATAAAGTCTACGGATTTCGGGATTTTTTTATAGCAATGACACGTATACTTGCCGCCCAAATCCCAAATTATTATAGTTTGGATTTGTCCAAATCCATCCCAAATTAATATCTCAAATTACCGTTGGCCACTGCATACGCATCCCCAAAAATAATACCCCCGTGATTAAACCCGGGTATTATTCACCACCCATCCTACTTAATTCTTGAATAAGACCCGGGGTATAACTATAATGATTTACTACTTTTAATATGATATATCCCCCAGATATAGTACCCGGTTCCTCACACAATAC